GAACATGGAATGTCTTCTCTTTTTTCAAGCCAGTGATAGTTTGGGAGTTTTTTATTGTATCCTGTCCTATCTTGAATCCTCCTATGCACACTTCCTTGCAACACTGGAAGAGTAGATATAGAGAAACCCATGCTCAGGCAAGCTCCCAGAGCATGACTGCTTCCCAGGGCCAAGGTAATTTGGTTCCAATCTTTATAGTCAGGATGATTGATGATGATAATTATTGATGATGATGATGATGATATATATATATATATATATAATCAATATAGAAGAAGCAGGCATCCTCTATTTTTAATGATAAATAACTTTGCAAAGTAGAATGAATGCATTTTGGTGGGGGGGAATAGTATGATATAAGAATTCTACAGAACATATAATACTTATATTCCTTTCCATGCATTATAAAATATTTTTTAGAATTAAAAAGACAAGGCCTTGTAGTAATCTAGCTCTGCACACTCAAATAATTTATCAAGCTGATTTCCTGAATTATCATATGACAAGCAGGCAATGATCTCCCAGCTCACAAAAACACTTCAGTATAATTAATGTAAGAATGGTGTTGAGGAGACTTGCATTGTATTCAGAGGATAAAAATGTTTCCCTGATCTAACGTTGCTTCCCCAGAGCAACTAGTTGGTTTTTATGTGATAAATTCAATGTTAAGAAGTTGATTATTGATTTTAGGATCAAACCTAAAAAGTATAGAGGACTTTACAATATGTATTTTGTGTACTGACTTGACTTTTACCTAACAGATAAAAGTTAAAGAGGCTGGAAAGTTGATATACAGAGAGTTATTTTTCCTTATGTGGTCACAGTTATAAATTTATAATGATGCTTAAATAGAAGCAGCCTAATAACTAGACATAGAATAGTAGCTAAATTTATGGGCTCTGGAGCTAGGTTAGTTGTATTTAAGTCTTAGCTGCACAATTTGGTAACTGTCTTAGTCCAGGCTGCTATAACAGAATAGCACAGAATGAGTGGCTTAGAGACAACAGGAATTCATTTCTCACAGTTCTGGAATTTTAGAAGTCCAAGATCAAGGTACTGGCAGATTTGGTGTTTGATAAGGGCCCTTTCCTGGTTAATAGATGTGGGATCTTCTAGTTGTGTACTTTGATGGTGGGATGGATGCGGGAGCTCTCTGGGGTCCTTTTTATAGAGCACTAATCTGTCCTTTCAATATTCAGATTCAGTCTCTAATGGTAGCTACATGACAAGTTATTTTACTTACGTAAGTTATTTTACTGTGCCCCAGTCTCCACATCTCTAAAATGGGAATAGTTTCCTCAGTGGTTATGAGGATTAAAAGTCTTAGTTTTGGACAACTATTAAAAACACTTAGTAGTTCTCTGGACATTACTAAGAATATTCCCTGGCATGTTAGCTATTAAAACTAGTTCTCTAATCATAAATGGCCAGTGATTATAAATCACTCCACGTGGTTCAGTCAAATCAACATTACTGGAGAGCCTGTACTATAATGAGCACCATGGTAGCTCCTATAAATACAAGGATGAATAAGACCTGACCCTTGTTTTTAGCTCATGGGAAATAGTAGCCTAAAAGGAGCAAGGAGAATGATATGTAAATTAATAGTGGCAGCACAGGGGTTAAAGTGAGTAATTTAAAAAGTATCTTGTCTGTCTTGATCACCTCTGTAACTACAACACTGAGAACAGAATTTAGGTACATTAATGGTGTTCAGTAAATGTTGAATGAAAAAAAAAAAGTGAATGAATGCATGTAGTAAGAAAGGTAAGTTGGGAGCCAATCATGAAGGAATTTTTACACCATGAAACAGATTTTGGACCTGTATTTAATGGGTAATACTGAGGAGAGCTTGTTGCTTAAAATAGAATTAGGGTTCCAACAGCACAGTGGATGATGGGACTGTTGGCAAGGTGGTCCAGAAGGATGAAGGGAGTTGGAATGAAACTGCCCAGAGGACAGACAGCAGGCAGTAGGGGATGGAAAGGTGATAATTCTGAATCACATGGGGAGTGTGTTATAGGTCATGAGTATGTTATGCATTGTTGGAGTAAAAACTGCTACCGTTATATAAAGTTACCAAGCCTAGAGTTCCAAACTACCCAGATCCAGAGTTTGCTGTGCTTGGAGGAGCAGGGAGGGTGGAGGAGGAGAAAAGAGGTGAAATAGGTGAGTGAGGTAAGGGGAGAATGAGGAAAGTAAGCTTTGAAGCCTCAACAATTGGGAGCTCTTCACAATGAGCAGAACCCTGGCAGATACAAAGGAAGTTTGCATATGTCTGCTGTCATTGAAAACATTCATTGGATTCATCTGGAAAGTAAACTTCTGATTTAATCTCTTTGTTTCATGTTATTATACATTCAGGTTGGTAAAGAATGCACACGTGCTTTATGACTCATATTCTTCTAGGAATGGCGTAGCTTGAGAGAGGACCTTTGGAAGCAGAATTACATCTTCCAGGAATGCATGTATTTGAAGGCAACCGGGAATTTCTGGCATAACTGCAGAACTTATGAGATTTAAATTTATGCTTTACAAACAGATGGACACTTAGCATAGCACTGGGATAAAATGAGGGCATACTTCCCTTTGCTCGATAGAGGTCATTCTGACCAGCAGAAGTCACACTTCAGATACAGGAGGCGATGCAGAGAGCTCCTTTGTTGGCATATTTCATATGTAAGTTGACACCATTAGAGGTGTGAAGAAATGACCTGAGTTTGAGAGAAAAATATTAAAATTTAAGGTATTTCTCCAGAAAGTGAATCTTTATATGAATCATCATCTATGATTCATTCCTCCCTTGCATTTTAATGTTTTACACCTTCATTTGTCTGTCTATTCACTCAGCAAATATGTATACACATGCTAAACACCCTTGTCAAAGTGAACAAAATAGAGGTGCCAACTGCCCTTAAAGAATTCACAGGTTAAGCAGAAAAAGAACAAGAACTAAGCAATTACAAAGCAACATATTCAGGTAAGCATAGGTGCAGGGGATTTTTGAACAGATTTGGGCAAAGCCTAGCCTGAGACCTGAAAAGCCATCTGAGAAAGGTGGCAGAAAGGTGTTTTCCTGCTGGATTCGCTTCTCCCTCTACCATAAGTTTTCCCCAAATATTGAGCCACTTCCTCTTTTAAACCACAACCTATATTTGATCAAGATTTCCAGAGACTGATATTGGACAAAAAATAACTTTACCAAATATTAAAGATGATGAGAAAGGAAAAAAATACAGAAGATACAAGCAGCATTGAAATAGTCAAATGTTCAAAGTGTAAAATTTTGTTCCCTATGGAAGCTTCACACTGGTCCAAAGAAGTAAGTCGTGCCTTTTTGCCTACATCTAGCCTCAGTTCCTGCTTTCCTGGGACTAGATCTCCTTGGGGAAGGGACATTTATTTCTGCAAGTGGGAAAACAACCTTCTAGGTAACTGTCCATTCCTAGGAAAACCTAAAAAATGGTTATCATAAATATTTTTCATTATTATTCCTAATTCTTGGCAAAGGAGATACTTTCCCCCATGTCTAAGTGGCATGCCTAAAGTATGCAATAAAATGAATGATCTCATGCTTATTCCACAAAAGGTAATGATTTTACTGAAACTGCTTGCATAGAACACGTTAGCTGTGTGTTGCATACACATATACTACAAGAAATGACACTAAAACTCAAAAGAATGTTCATCCTTGAGCAGTTGCCATATGCAGTAAGTCACTGTCCAGTTAATCTGAGAGCAAGAGTAAAGCAATTTCTGCCCGGCTGGTGTAGCTCAGTGGTTGAGCATTGACCTATGAACCAGGAGGTCATGGTTAGATTCCTGGTCAGGGCACATGCCTGGGTTTCAGGCTGGATCCCCACTAGGGGGCAGGCAAGAGCAGCCTATCAATAATTCTCTCTCATCCTTGAGGTTTCTATCTTTCTTCCCTCCCTTCCTCTCTCTCTATATATTTAAATCCTGAACTAAAAGAAAAACGTTTTTCTGCTAAAAGGGGAATTATTGAAACAACTGGTGAAATGGGAGTGGGTTTTAAAATTAGGTGGTGGTGGCCCTAACCAGTCTGGCTCAGTGGATAGAGCGTCGGCCTGCGGACTGAAGAGTCCCGGGCTCGATTCCGGTCAAGGGCATGTACCTTGGTTGCAGGCACATCCCCAGTGGGGAGTGTGCAGGAGGCAGCTGATCAATGTTTCTCTCTCATCGATGTTTCTAACTCTCTATCCCTCTCCCTTCCTCTCTGTTAAAAAATCAATAAAATATATTTAAAAAATAAAATAAAATAAAATTAGGTGGTGGTGTTTTATTAATATTAATTTCCTGATTTTGTTGGATGTATTAGAGTCATGTATGAGAGTGTTCTTTTTCCTTTAGAAAATACATATAAGTTTTTGGAGGTAATGGAGCATCATGACTGAATATTCGACTCAGATAATTTAGAGAGAAAGGCACAGATATAGACAACATCTATCTCTATTATAATAGAGATAGAGATATATAGACAAATGTAACCAAATGTTTACTACAGAAGTGGGAGTTCTTTTTACTGTTCTTGCAATATCTGTAAGGTTAAAATCATTTCAAAATACAACGCTTTTTAATGAAGAAAATATGGACCTAAAAGGTAAACAGCATTATACTACCATGATGGTATGGTATATATTAATAGGACTTCCTACTTTCCAAGCATTATGCTACACTAACCAAAAAATAAAATTACATTTCATCTTATTTTTTCCCCATTATATGTATGGTCTAATACCACATTTGAAAATAAATAAACAAAAATATGTGTTTTGACGTATGACTAATATATAAAACTTGCAAAGTTAATTACTGAAAAAATTCTTAAGTTAAAAAAAAAAAGTGTTGGTGTCATTTCCTTTCCCCCCCCAAACTGGTATACACAAGCTATACTTTATAGTCAGACATTTGGTTTTATTCCCAATGAAAGCAACAATACAAGTCAATTTGTATGCTCTCTCTCTCTCTTTCTTGGCTAGGTATCATATGTCAAAGCTATTGACATTTGGATGGCAGTGTGCCTCCTTTTTGTGTTTGCAGCACTTCTGGAATATGCAGCTGTAAATTTTGTATCAAGACAACACAAAGAACTTCTGAGATTTCGACGAAAGAGAAAGAATAAGGTAAGCAATTGAATTCATTGGGTTCATCGGGATACCAACTTTCATTAAAAAGTGAATTTGTTATATAAATATATTTTTAAAATATGTTTTTATTTAAGAGAGGAAGGGAGAGGGAGAGAGAGATAGAAACATCAATGATGAGAGAGAATCATTGTTAGGCTGCCTCCTGCACAACCCCTACTGGGGATCGAGCCTACAACCCAAGCATGTGCTCTTGACTAGAATCGAGGCCTGGACCTTTCAGTCCATAGGCCAATGCTCTATCCACTGAGCCAAACCAGCAAGGGCTGTTATATTTAATAGGATGTGAAGAGAGGAAGTGGAGACCAGGGACTAAATGTCATGATGTTCCTTTGGTTTTGTCCAACTGAAATTTAAATTGTCAAAAATAGCTTCAGGAAGAAAATGGTGACATCTAGGTATACTGTTGACATGAGAGCTTCCTCAACTTCTTTCTAGTGTATTTCCTGAAAAGACACCATTTTTTGCTTTCATTAACCAAAATGTATCATTTCTTATTTGCAATGTTAGTATGTTTCTGGTGATTTTACTTCACATAAGTCATCAAATATAGCGATTAAAGTTGTGTGTTTTTTTCCAAATGAATTCTTTTGTTTCCATCATATATTACCTATTTATTAATACTTTGATGTTCATGTAGAACTAAGAGGTCTTTTTTTTTGATGCATACTTTCATGTTTTAAAGACATTTCTTCTGAATCCCCATGGGAAACACAACATAGTGTTATTTTTGCCCATCAACGTAATAAATTAAACCTAGAAGAAATGTTATTGAGAACATCATTGGGAGATCACAGGAAGTTGTTGAATGAATCTCCTCATTGGATTTGGATGTACAGAATGGGGTGGTTTCTCTCTATTAAGACTTACAATGCTATCTCTTTTTAACGAACCCCTTTCCTCTTCTGTGTGGAAGAGTTTCTATTGGCCAGCATATTCACTTCTTTTAATGTGCGTGTGCCAGCTAATATTTTGAAAGAAAGTGGAGTAATAAGCAATAGAGAAATTTCATAGTTCATATAGTGCACATTTTTAAGGATTTAATTTTTAAAAGGATTCCTTCTGGTTTCTGAATTATTGACAATGATTTATAGATTCATAAAACCTTTTAAAGCACTAAGCGATGATCTCTCAGTGCTGAGCCTACTCAGTATTAGTCATCTTCTAAAGCAATAACTAATTGACTCCCCAGATTCATCACTGCTCCAATAAATATCCAATTCAGTGCAGCATGGAAGAAACATCAGCATTCGGATACACTGGGTAATTCACTGGACAAAAACAAACAAACAAACAAACAAAAAAACAGTGCTAGATCTTGCATTTGATCAATTTTTTATGAAAAGGAAAGCATATAATTTGTACATGAAAACATATTTTGATGGGAGATTAATTTTTTTCATCTCCTTACCCTGTCCTCACCCCTGTCAGCTAGTTTTCTTAGACTTTTCTAGTCCTTCCTCATTCGCCTTTTCTTTCTTTTCTTCCCCTTATTCTGCCTCCCTTACTATCTATTTGCATCCCCTTTCTCTCTCCTGAGACCTGGTACTGGCCGAAACACTGTAACAGGACAAAACAATTCTGTATCACAGGGCTGAAGATCTTGTCTTTCCCTTTAATGTTTGATGAAGACAATTTTTCCTTCTAATCTCATTAATCATAAGTAAGGAAATATTTATTTTCCCCTCTCATTTTGGTTTGCTTTTCCACATTTACTTTTTATTTCCCTTCCTTTCTCCTCCTTTCTACAATTTAAAATTTATCAATCATGTATACTGCAAACTCTAGAAATGAGAAGTATTACACATGTGGGGCTAAGAGCTCAGACATTGTCTATTACCACCTCATCTCCAACAGTCACAGTATCCAGTGGATAACATAATAGACTACAAGTTTACTTGCTCAATTCTGGTTCCTCCTTTTAAAAAATTATCCTTACTGAAGCAGTTCATTATTCAGTTTTACCACCTGTAAGACTATTGGGATACAAATATTTGACATTCCTTCTTTAGTGCAATGAAGGACAGCAAGATTAATTTTCTAATAATTGGCACTCTAGGAAAATGCAAAAATAATATCTTATTGTCTAATCACTATTTGAAATACACCGTGTGCAAATATTGTAATTAAGGTTTGGTGCAGGAAAAAAATAAAATAAAATCCAGGTCTTTTCGTTTTGTTTTGTTTTTTAGCTCATTTCATACTTTGGGAAGTGGACACATTGCATATGTAAAAATCTATTAATTGATACATGGTTGCTAACATGGTATGTGTAATTGAATCCAATTGTGAAATTATATTAATCATGTATGCCTGATTCTCTGGTTTCTCAATCCCAGACAGAAGCTTTTGCACTGGAGAAGTTTTACCGTTTCTCAGACACGGTAAATTCACTTTCTTAACTCTGAGTGGAGGAATGTGGTCATCAGTAAGAAAGCAAAGAACATATTCTGCACCCAGGCAGTGTTTGGTGGGGAAACATCCCTTTGCATATGTAAAGCCAAAATACCACCATCGCCCTTCAGCTAAGAATACTCTCTTTTTCTAATAATTCCATTTGTCTTCCCTCACTCAGTAAAAGGATATTTAAATGTTCTTCTTCATCTTATTTAACCAAGTTATTGGATCAGTCAAAAAAAACTTTAATATATATTAAACAGAAATATTATACATGCCTTATTATAGTCCCCATAAAAAGTGTTTTGACAAAGTAAGTTTCAAAATAAATGGGAAATTTATTTATACAAAAAGTTTGAAAAGCAGCTCCTCTTATCAGAAAATAGAAATCTAGCCCTGACTGGTTTGGCTTAGTGGATGGAGCATCAGCCTGCGGACTGAAGGGTCCCAGGTTCGATTCCAGTCAAGGACATGTACCTTGGTTGCGGGCACATATCTGGTGGAAGGTGTGCAGGGGGCAGCTGATCGATGTTTCTAATTCTCTGTCCCTCTACCTTCCTCTCTGTAAAAAAATCAATAAAATATATTTTAAAAAGAAAATAGAAATCTAAAAATTAGGCAAAAATAAAAAGCTTTGTCTCTTAGAACACATTCTGAATGTTAAGATATGTTAAGATAGTATAGTAAATGAATAATTTTGGTTTTGATAGTGGCATCCATTGATATGTTTCATAAGAAAGAGATCACACGGATACATGTACATATTCAGTGATTGAATTTAAACCTAACAAAGCCAAGAATTTAGTCTAGCCAATCCTATACAAATAGTCCAGTCTACTAACTAAAATTTCTGAGAAAAAAAAATGTATTGTAAAAAACCTCTGCAGATGATGCTACCACATGCCTTAGTTAAGAATAGACATAGTGTTAGATGAATGGACATAGACATAATTTTAGATGAATATTAAAGTAATCTGAATTTTATAACAGATATCTAGACCCAGTATTATTTTAAAGCACTTAAGCTTTCTTATATTATAATATATAATCTCTCAAGTCTTTTTATTTCCTACTAGAATTGCATATTTGTTGTCAACAAAGCTAGATACTTCTTTTACATGGCCCAGTCACCTTTACTTGATTATTTTAACTGTAAATTTGAAACGGTATTATTTGCATTAAATTTGAATAATCACATATAGTAGCCTCTTTGGGAGAGATATATATTTAAATTTCCAGTCACTAAACAGTTAATGCTTATAGGAGCTTTAGTATAAAAGATAAATATTGCTTTATAAAAAATGCAAACAAAGAACTGTGATGAAAAAGCAGGTTTACCTCAGAAATAGTCAATACTGAATTATTTTTTAAAACAAAATGATTTTCAAACAAATCTATTGAAAATTAAATGCATTCCATTTATTTTTATAATAATTGTCGTGAAAATTTTGTTACTCGTTTTAATTTTTAAAAGATAATTTTCTGCACCTAATAACTCTCTGGGTTGACCAAATTCATCACCAAAAAACAAACAAACAAACAAAAACTATTTGGAAACAGTCCTATCAATCTAAATCTTTGAATCAACATAATCAAAATGAGTCTAAAAGTTAATTCTGTGTCCTTTCTTTCATGAGTACTACTGGTTTACCTGAAAAAAATTTTTTTTAAAACTCTAATTTGTCAGAACAGGCAAAATACAATAGCCTCATTATAGAAAGTCTGTCCCAGGAGGGGACCTTATACTGATGTAAATATTATTCCTAGAAAAGTTTTTAAAAAAATATATTTTATTGATTTTTTACAGAGAGGAAGGGAGAGGGATAGAGTTAGAAAATCAATGAGAGAGAAACATCCATTAGCTGCCTCCTGGGGATATGCCTGCAACCAAGGTACATGCCCTTGACCGGAATTGAACCTGGAACCCTTCAGTCCGCAGGCCAACACTCTATCCACTGAGCCAGACCGGCTAGGGCTCCTAGAAAAGTTTTAACTTGGTTCGGCAATGACTTAGGCATTATAGACAATTTTTAATACCTTGCTTTTTCCTCTGTGAAGGTTCAAGTGAACCTTTTGTCTATTGTGAAAGAATAAAGTTTGCTCTTGTGTGCAAATTTCCCCACCCCACACTGTCATGGCCTGCTGTGTGCACATTACCCACTGCCCCTGGTCATACTGCTTCTCTCCAGTAATATGTATGCATGGGTGTATGCATGGCATGGAAGTATTTTGGTTAGAAGTTGCTTTTCCCTTGTATGATATCATTGCATTAGAATTGGAGGGGTATTAAGACATGCCAAAATATTTCTGAACATATGTGAGTTGTTGAGAGATGTGGATGATTTGGGATTGCTTTAGTGCATTTCATGTAGCTTCTTCTGCATTGCAATATAATGTAATGATGCAATGGTTTGCTGAGAGAAAATGCATTCACACAGTATTCTAGCACCTCTTCCTATTTATCATGGTATTCACTTTTATTTATATACACAGTTGAGACAAACATGGACCACTAGTTTTAGGTTTTGAAAATAATTACCCACTTTATATTTTGCCAGACATGACAGTTATCTTTTAATAATAAAGATATAATTGACTGTATTTCAACTATATGTACAAAAAAATCATTATTTTATTTACTTATGTATTTATGTGTTATCTTACTTTAAAAATAACTCAAGGTAACTTCTAAGAATAATGCGTAATTGATTTTTTGACCTTGCACATTCTGTCAGCTCCATAATCTTAGGACAAATACAAATATACATGTACCCTATTTTGGTTGAGTGGATGATGCTCCAAAGTTGAAAACAATTTGGCACCCATGTACACTAAATTATTTAATAGTTTTCATTATAGGTCAGTTTATGCTATATTCCAGAGTATAAGATATCCTTTCAATAGGTAAATATTTCCTACAAATTTCTTTGTTACATATCTTAAGATAAATAGTTTTCAAATAATTTTAAACAAATTCTATTTCAATGATTCTGATATATGAGGGTTAGAAATTTCATCCTCTCTAGTAAAACAAAAATTGTAAGAATTCAATTATTTTCTGAAAACAAATATTTAGAGATTAGGTTCAACAGCTATTTTCAGAGCTATTCTGCCTCTGAAATACTTATTTAGGAAAACAATCTATAATAATAAAAGTGTAATATGCTAATTAGACCGGATAGCCGAATGACCTTCTGGACGTCATTCCGGATGAAGCCGCCATGGTGGGGGTTGAGGCAGAGATGGTTAGGGGTGATCAGCAGGCAGACAAGTGGTTAGGGGTGATCAGGCAGGGGAGCAGTTAGAAGCCAGCAGTCCTGGATTGTGAGAGGAATATCCGACTGCCGGTTTAGGCCCAATCCCTCTAAACTGTCAGTCGGACATCCCCCAAGGGGTCCCGGATTGCGAGAGGGTGCAGGCCAGGCTGAGGGCCCCCCCGCCCCTGCACAAATTTCATGCACTGAACCTCTAGTATTCAATAAAGTAACTTTATTTATTTAATTTAATTTCACATGCATTGTAGGAACTTCCATCTCAGAGTTAACTAAAATAGGTTTATAGTACTGCTTTTTACACATGCTATCTACTACATTATATTATTTCACTCCATGATTCTGAGTTGGCACTGACAGTGGTTCTCAACCTTCCTAATGCCATGACCCTTTAATACAGTTCCTCATGTTGTGGTGAGCCCCAACCATAAAATTATTTTCATTGTTACTTCATAACTGTAATTTTGCTACTGTTATGAATCAGAATGTAAATATCTGATATGCAGGATGTATTTTCATTGTTCGCAACCCACAGGTTGAGAACCTCTGATAGAAATAGATATACAGATAATTTAAAATTATTTAATTGATTTCTTATCAGTCTAAAATATAGAAGGTTGAATTAAATTTTCATAATATTTTATGTAAAACATTCATTTTAAGCTGACATTTTACCATTCAACAATCTCCAAACCATATCTGAATCTAAATTCAATATGCCAAGCATAATTCATAACTAATTCAAATACCATCTATAATAAATGCAAGGTTTTCATAGGAGTGAGGTTTTAAAGAATTTTATACTGATAATTGACTTGCAACTATAAAGTATTTTAACCTCATCTATAATTGCATTTTTAACACTTCTATTTTTAAATAATATATAAATATATACAGATGTATTAAACTGAATATTTTACTTTAGGCTAATACTTTAGAAAAACAATATTTTAATTATTCATGTTTTTTATCTTACCTTAGAATTGTCTAAGTGATGGTGATTTTTCCCAACAAAAATAAACCATTATTTTATTAGTAATTTTTTTCAAAATCCACACACTTTGAAATCATGTAACTGAAAATTAATAGCATTTCATATTTTCTCCATCTGTCACTTTCCTATTTAGCAATTAAAGATTATAGAAAATTATTTTAATAAAATGACCTTTGGGATAATTTAGTTAAAATCATCATTGTATAAAAACACCCCAAAAGAACAAGAAAGAAAATAACATCCCAAAGGTATCTACTAGGGAAGAAACATTAGGATAAAAATAACATATTTAATGCTGCTGTATCTCATAGCAATTCACATAATCATTACTAACCCTTTTTGATACTTAATGTTCATTTACCACTCACTGACAATCTTCATGCCTTTACCACTCCTTCACCATATAAGTTTTTTTTGTCATTTTTGAGAGCTAAGAATAGGATAGAAAATTCTTACCTCTTATGTATATTAGAGTTGATGATAGAGATAAATGAAGCAATTCAACTGAATGGCTATATCTACGCTTGGATTTTCAATCTATCTCCTGTTATGTGAATCAGTCTTTAATATAATCTATATGTATATAAAAAGCCAGCAACCAGAATGCTGAAACGACCAGAACAACTGGTCACTAGGACGCCCACTGTGGCCAGTGAACTGGCCTGATCAGCCCACAGTCCCTCCCCCCAGCCGGCCACACCTCTGATTGCTCCCCCACTCC